CGGGTGACATGATGACCCGTCATGGTCTGGTAGCGGGTGACAATGTCCTTGATGGTGCCAGCAAGTATGTGGCCGTAGTGAGGGAGGCCCGTCGCGAAGGGTGGGCCATCGTAGAAGATGTATTCAGGATTGTTAGCGGAGCGAGCTAACTGGGTCTCGAATGCCTTGATTTCAGACCACAGCTCGAGTATCCTCTCCTCTTGTCTGGGGAAGGAGAAGTCTCTACCTTCGCACACGTCGTCCATGGCAGACTCGAATTTGCTTTCGCAGGGCTACTTTGAATCTGCGAGCTCTTCTATGATACTGCGTGCTTCAGACAACTCTGCCGCCACCCAAGCCCTTCTAAGCTGAAAGCGCCATGTCGGGGTTTAAACCTTATGTTTGGATTTGCGTTTTGAAGCCCCAAAACGCTGTTAACAATCCACAACACGGTAAACCTGATTCGGGGTAAACAAACACGACATGTTGAATGGTAGTCACGTTTTTTCCTTCAGACCACGTTACAGGAGATGAGGAGAAGCATTTAAGGACCAGCTTTTCTGTTTGAAAATCACAGTGGAAACATAAAGGCAGTTACTCTTTTCCTCAACAACAAAAGCAAAAAAACAAAAACAAAAACAAAAACAAAAAAGAAAAACAAAGAGGCATTTAGTCATTTACCACTAATGTCCCTTTGCATAATCAGGGATTCAAGGAAGAGGAAGCGACTTTAGGAGGGAGGGACTGTGATGACAAAGAAAGAAGGGGGACGGGAACATATAGAAAGATAGGTGCAAAAATATATATTTTGAACAAGATATTGAAGACAAAGATATTACCTTCATCAACATTCAGGATATTTTTAGAGATCAACACCTCCAAATAAAAATTAACTTCTTAACTCAGAAAGGTAATAGAGCTACAGCTAGATGAACTACCCTTGATGAAGGATGGGTTAGATTGGATACTAATGGCTAAGTCAACATTCACGGTGCAGCTAAATGTGGTGGTCTTATCCGGAACAATCAAGGCAATTGGATCAAAGGTTATTCAAATACCTTGGTTATTATCCTAGTACAGCTGCGGAGCTTATAGGCATTTTGGAAGGTCTTCATATTTGTTGGGCTAGTAAGTTTGATAAAGTCAATGTCTACAATGACCTTACAGAAGCTCTCTCGCTAATTCACAATGAATTCTCTACTACCCACCCACTTTTTGAGACTATCAATAAAATTAGAGATCTCACCATGTGATAATGGACAATCACATTCGATCACATTTTCAGGGAGGCTAACAAATGTGCAGACTGATTATCTCATCAAGCTTATCCTGATAATTTTTATGTTCGTATTTTCGATAGTCTACTACCTGGTTGTTGTAATCTTTTATATGCTAACATGACTCATATTGTTAATTAGCACGGTGTATCCATGGCCTTTTATTCAAAAAGAAAAAGAAAAAAAAAAGAAGAGGGACAAAAAGCAAAGGATGAGTCAACAGAAAAGGTCAAAGCAAGATTAAGAGCTCAATTTTAATGTCCGCCCACATTCTCAATCCTTTGAAGTGACTCCACATTGCATAATTCTACCAATTAATCTAAAATCCTAATCCATGCCACAATTCTTTTCTAAGTGTTTGCTTTCTGGGGATTAAAATTACATCTCCATTTCTAAACTAATAGATTGTGATCATCTATCATCCAAAGGTCATCTAAATATGCATAGTCTAAGTCTTCCTTAGTTGAAAAAGATACTATGAAATGCTCATTACTCAAAGGCATCACCTTTAACGGGTTTACGGACCACCACATCCTATCCAATCTTATTTGCATTAAGGTTTAAGAAATCTCCTTCCCCAGTAGCTTAACAAGGGAACTTTTCCATGGGGCACACCATGCTTCATATTCTTTCTCAGTTAACTTTAGCGTCAAAATCCTTAATTTCCTTAATTTAGTTTCCTATGCCTCATCGTTTGATTCCTCCACCTCTATTTTATCTTGTTCTTCATTGGCCTTTACAAAATACCCTTTCCATCCCCTTAAAATCTCATCGGATTCAAAATATTCAATAAGAAACCTTGCCGAGTTTAGACTTATAAGAGAATCTCAATAAGATAATCTTCTCCTTAGAAGTTGCACCTGCTCTTTCACCACCAGTGTAGGACCCTTAGTAGCCTTAAACACTAGACTTGAGGATCCATTCAACCCTTGTTTACTAAAAAATGAAGACTCCACCCTTTGTTCCTTTTATCACCTAAGGTCCTCTACTAGAACCACCTAGCAAAACCCCTCTCATCTCACCGTATGCACTATTACTTTCTCTACCCTAACCACCATTCATACTCCTACTATACTTGTCTCTAAAGACCTTTAAAGACCTAAGGCCTATTAATTTGTGTAATGTAAGTTATAAAATCATCACAAAAATTATTACTAATAGAATGAAAGTGTTTCACCCACAGGCTATAGCTCCATACCAATGTAGTTTTGTTTCGGTTCATCACACTCAAATAATATCATTATGGCCTTAGAAGTGATACATTCCATACGAACCATAAACTAGAAGTAAGGTTACATGGAAATAAAATTGATCTAGAGAAAGCGTACAACCAAGTCAACTAGGGTTTCCTCACTAGCTATCTTAAATAATTAAATTTGTCATCTTACATGGATGAGGTCATATCTAGTTGTGTGACTACTCCTAGCTTACAATTATTATGGGATGGCAACAAGCTAAATCTTTTGCTTTTTCTTGGGGAGTTAGACAAGGTGATCTATTATCTTCATATCTTTCATGATTTATATGGAAAAGCTTGCTCATTTAATCATGCAAAAAGTGGAGGAAGAAGAGTGGCATCCAATCCAGCTTGTCAAGAATGGGCCCTTTATATCCCACTTGTTCTTTGCCGGATATCATTCTCTTTGCTAAAGCTTTGATGATACAAGTTGAGATTATTAACGTGATCTTGAAGATTTTTTGCCTATGTTCGGGGGTGAGAGTCAGCCAAAACGAGGGTCTTCTTCTCTGAGAATGTTACATGCCATAGCAAGGAAGAGATCACTACTAAATTGGGTTTTATGAGATCAACTGACTTGGACAAGTACCTGGGGGTTCCTTTACACTACAAAAGAGTTGATCATGAAATTTTTGTTGAGACCATTGATAAGGTGAAAATGAGATCATCAAGCTAAAGGCTACTTCATTATCTCTTGTAGGGCGTGCAACTCTGATTTTTGCTGTTGCATCTACTATTCTGGATATACTATTCATACTTCATATCTTCCCACAGCTACTTGTAATACCCTTGAAAAAAGCAACCATGACTTCTAGTAGGGTTATTCGAGCGAGGAACGAAAGATTCACATAGTTAATTGGGATGACGCTTGTAAAATATAAAGCTTTTATGATGAAAGTGGGTTGGGGCTTAGTAAATAGTCAAGATGCACTTTAGGCAAAAGTAATTCGAGCAAAGTATAACTACAAAAATGACTTATTCCTCAAATCAATATGAAACGCTCTAGCTCTAATATTTGATCAGGAATCAAGGCTACCTGGGACATAGTGAAGTCTGGTTTGATTATTAATAATAATAGTAATATTGTTGGTTGAAAATGAGACAAAGGTGGGACCTTCTCGATCAAATATGCTTATGGAGTCCTAATAGAGTCTCACACTTTAAGTGACTTTGTATGGGAAAAGTTGTGGAAACTTCTCATAACATACCAAAACCCTCCTTTGGATGGCGGCTTATGGACTCCTTCATCACGGGTCTAGGCAAAAATATAGAATAGAGATCGATGGGAGATGCCTTTAGTGTGATTCTTAGTTGGAAACAGAACTACATGTCCTTCAAGATTGTCATGAGGCTCATCACCTCTAGCAAAGCATCCTGGATGGGCTGAAGCATGGTGAAATTTTTTTCGATAAAACTAAATAATTGGCTGAAATGGAATATCAGGAACTCAGGTCATATAGCTTATAAGGACTAAAGTTTTTATTTTGCTCTTGTTTATTGGCTAATTTGGCAAAGGCTTAACGAACACATTTTTTCAGGGAAAGTTATGTTTAATGAGTATAATAACACTCAAGCTTTAGCCATCTTAGATAACATGATCTCAAATAAACATAAGGGGTCAAATGTCAACTAGAGAGGTAAGACGCCAGATTACCTCTAAATAGTTGGAAGCCACCAGATATAGGGTGGGTCACCATGAATGTAGATGGAACATTCTCAATTGCTTATCAGAAGAAAGGATGCAGTGGTATTCTTAGAGACCACGAAGGAAAATTTCTTTCCGGCTTCCTTTGCAACCTTCATGACGGGGGCTGTCTCACGATCGAGCTTTGGGATTTCTTATTCAGGCTAAAGACGGTGTAAGACGGTAGGAAGAGGAAACTCTGCATGGAATCTGACTCAACTAATGCACGTGGGCTTGCTTTGGGTGGGGATATCTCACATCATCTAGATAAGGTCCTTATCACCAAGATTTGTGATTGGCTTAAGAAGGAGTGGGAAATTCAAGTTAAGCACATCCCACAAATAGCTAACAAGGTAGCTAACTACCTAGCACAAATGGCTCTTAACATTTAGCAAGGTTACCACGCTTTTGGCTTTCCACCTGATGGACTTGTGAAGCTTTTAAAGGATGATGTCTTACATGGATATTATATCCCGCTGGATGTTTCTAGTTGCTGTTTATTAAAAAAAGAAGATAAAATATAAAAAGCTCAAAGCAAATACCTAGTGCGCCAAAGAAAAACAAAGCACAGTATTAGGCAAGATAGGGATCAATGTTGAAGGTTTAATAAGGAAGACTTAGACTATTAAGTACACAAACAGCGTTCGAAAATTATAGAATCATATAATCAAATCCTGCTAAAAAATTTGTTAATCTCCCTTCTATAAATATCTTTATAAGTGTTTTTTGAACTTAAAAAAAATGCTCTTGCGTGGTAAATTTTGAAAATTTAACTCACTTAAACTTTTACTTATCAAGAAGAAGAAGAAGAAGAAGAATGACATTGAGAAACTAGAAGGAAAGTCACTTAATCAGAAGCAAATATGTGGGTGTAGCAGAATGAGAGCCATACACATATCATACACGATGCGTTTGTCTGGACTCTGGCCACATATTTTCTGTATCATATATAATTTAAAAATCACTGCAATGGTCATTTTTTATGTATCATAATTAAACATTTTTTTTATTAATTGCATAGGCGGCATGTGTACTCAGCAGAGCTATTCTAGTATGGTATTCCTCGCTCGATGCGGTATAGGTTGCCGAAGCTAATCAGTTTCACTATACACTTCGCTCTCTTTCTTTCTGCGTGCTTCGACCATACGAAACTGAAAATATATCGCTATAGCAATGGGAAGACATGGATGCCAGTATAGGTATACCTACAGTAACAGAACACAAATATTCATACGTAAGAGAAATTTCATTAAAAAAAAAAAAAAGCCCATACGTAACTGATATCCTGGGAATCCTAAATGGCTAAAAAGCAGTTCTATTTCTGACTTCATGAACCGATCAAACTGAATTTGAGACCAACACTAAACATATTTTGTACAATTCCTCATAGTCAAAGACCACTTCTATCAAGACCCAGGCGCTCACTGCAGAAACTCGATGGCACAATGGACAGCTGCAGCCGCCCAGTCCATTCCTCACTCGGCTTCAAGGTGAGAGGCTTCTCGATCACCGCCCCATCAACACTAAGCATCTGCTTATACTCCCCATCTCCAAAGTCTGCCATTGATCTTGATTTCTTATCCCATGGGTTCCAGACAGCTGCACAGAGGATATAAGAAATCTATAGAACTAGGAGGGATAGTACTGAAGATTACAATAAAACAATTCATAGAACTTATCAGCTTTAAATTTTTATTTAACATGTTAGCAAACCACTAGCTCCGAGTGATTTAGAGCTTTACAATAATGGGTAAGGCAACCTATGCTTTGTCCACACTTCATGTCCAGTATGCTTTTGTATGAGAATTGATGATTGACGTTACTACAATAAGGTTATTTATGAATCTTCACTTGGTAGCTTCAGAGTTTGGTTGAAGTGGTTCCTTACAGATAGTATAATCCTGGGGGTTGGATTCAAAACCATAGTCGCATTTGAAGACAAAATGTGTTCTTGGTAATGGTAACCACAGGTGCTAGCCAAATATATACTGTAAAGAGAACTTAAAAAGCAGTTCAGATGAGCTGGTCCAATGAAACATCTCGCTCTTTCTTTTGTCATATGAGCATGAACAAGTTTTACTAGCTACATAACTTACCAACATCAGGTAGACCTTCCTTTCTTATCACAAATGTCCTCTTCCTCCCATGATCTAGAACAGCAATTACATTTGGAGAGCTAAGATAGGCTCGATCCACCTGGCCATGAGAGAAGGGCAAATTTTGAAAACTTTTCGTTACCTTGAATTGAGGTGAAAACATCAACTGCATCATGAAATTTTCAATTAAATTTGCCAAAAATCTTGATTTGAAAAATGTAATTTGATAGAGTTGCCAGGCATGCAAAAGTTCAAATTACTATTGAACATGATTTTTGTCATGTCCAGAACCATGAACGCTTACCTCAGACTCAAATGTTATCGCATCGCCTTGTTCAGTGAAGCGTTCCCTCTGGAAAAGGTTGTCCAGGTAGTCAAGTGTCTCCAGACCTTCTATCCTCACCTCACTATACATAATATTGTTCATGTAAGCCCTAATTACCAGTCTTTTTTGAAAAAATAAAAATAAATAAGTCTTAATCTAAAATTACCAAAAATGGAGGACAACCTAGGGATATACCTATAATGTTGGCACTTAATTCAGAGCTCATTTAAACTTGTTCTCCATCAAATTATGATTATGATGGATATCTAAATCTAAATGGGATCGGAGACCTTTTCTTAAAAGCTAACTGTTGGGTGGAAAAACCAACCCACTTAAATATTCCATTAGACATCTCATACTATTCAATGTAGAACATGGTATCCCATACTACTAAATCTCCATTAAATTACCACACTAGCTGTGGCCAAGAAAAATTATCACAATAGGTGACAATCATTGCGAATAGAGGTTGTCTTTATTTCATGCAACGCTTCCATTTCAAGAACTTAAATATCACTTCATTTCTTCACCCAAACTACTTGATTAAATGTTAAATTCTACTACTAATGTCTTTCACTCAACAATTTTGACAATAATGCATGCAACTAGAAAATTCTAGTTTCAAATAAGCAAACATGTTAGCTTTCAGCAAATAATCCATTTATATATTTCATTATAAAAGTCCTAGTTTCAAATGAGAAGGCCATGTATAGTCCTTGAAGAGGAAATACTGCTAATACTGAATATAAATCAACATAATTTCCACAGGTGTCACTGCAGCAAATTGCAGGGTACAAGGAAAAGAGAATGGTTGGTCAAGTTTTAGAGAGAATTATACACACCTAATATCAGAAACCAATAAATATGTGTGATATGCAAATGAGAAACTAAACGGCTTGCCATTGACATTCCTGACTCGTGATATCAAAGTCAGGTCTCCATCTGTTGCAAGGGACACCCTAAGGCGAAACTCAAAACTGACACAATTAAACATTTTGTCAGCTTACTACTACTCAAACTGTCTCCAGCACAAAAGAGAAACATACAATCAGATATCCATTTCAAAATCAAATTATCAAAGCAATAAAAAAATGAACAGATATCCTTGTCAGACCACCGATGTACGCTAACATACAAAAAGTAGCACAAGAATTCTACCTATGTGGCCAACACTTCATATCCTCTTCGGTTGATTTGAGTAGCAAGTCAACAAAGGATTTCCCTTCATGATCATATGCAGCAGGTAGAGGGGGAGGATTATCATCAATTTTCCACATCTTATTTCTTACAAATCCATGCAATTCTGATGAGCCGCAGCTTCCAAACTTCAAATGAATTAAGTTTAAGATGTGAGTAACAAATTGTGACACAACTTCCACTATTGTGACAATGAACATTATTCAACAAAGTATTGAACTAAACCTGTGGAAAACAGATTCGAATTCCTCCCCGTATTGTTTTTGGAGCCTTGGGAATTACCTACAATCAATTGAAAATAAGAAAAAAGCAACTAATGAAGTTTGGCTCTTCATCAAGCAGCTCTATTTCATGGAACTGCTTACATGTGCAATTTAGCTGAAAAGAAATGCATTCCCATCAGTTGATTAACCATGGAATGTTGGCAAAATTTTTCCCTACAATTAACTTCTCACAAACTCGTTTGGTAGTGAAAAATTGATGACTTAAAAGATTACGAAGATTGAAAAAGAATACCTTGCTGCTGGTGAATAGGAGTTCTTCACCTTTCTCATTTCTCCATGAAGTGACTTGTGCCCCATGCAAGCTCACCTGGCAAGGAAAGAGAGTCAATTCCAAAGCGACCCACCAAATGGCTCAAACCAAACCATAAATTTCAACATGAACCAGGTTTTCCAATCACGGATTGATATTGAAACCTGACACATCATGAACCAAGTTTTGCTATCATATATTGACACTGAAAGATTACATAATTAAACAATGACTTCATAAATCATTCAAACAGAGGCAAATGCCAAAATTAAGAGATTCTCACTCACCTTTGCTGATGCACCTTGTGAATTCCGAAGCACAATTTGATCAATCCCATTCCTATCTTTCGTAGTCATAATTGCCGATTTATAGTCCCATTCCCATACAGCTCCAGAATGCCCCATCCGAAAATCAATGGTTTGTGTCTTCTACTTTCTCAAAGCAAGACCTATCAAACTTCTCAAACTCAAAACATGCTCAAGGTCTGAAGGGCAGACAAGTCCATACCTATAATTTGACCAGAACGTTGAAGAACTTTGTAAATAAGAACAAAAGCCTAAATACCAATTTATCTCTCTCAAACTTCCTTCAATTTACAAATTAATTCAAATCAAGAGAGCCCCAAGCCTGTTTATAAAAACAATAACAATTAGGAATGTCCAATGAAATTTCATTGAAGCCCTTAAACCCCGTCCCACCCAAAAAAGAAACACTACACTTGGAACTCATGGCAACGGCATATCAAGCTACCCGGCACCTACTTTAGAAAGCATTCCATTCAGATTTCTCAGATTTAAACCAGAAGACGAGAATTGAAATATCAAAAAAGCAAAAAGAAGCAAAACAGGTTGCAAACGTAAACCCACGAAAAGCTGAAATTCCTATAATATTGTTTTCTATGGAAATGCAACAACAAAATTGAACCCCATTTCATCAAAACAAAATTTATTTTAAAAAAATCCACAAAACAACAGCAACGGCCCAAATTAACGTGTGTACTTACTCTAATTGTTTTGAACTGAGTATTCTAACAGAACCCCAGGTTCTGCGTCACGAATAAGAAGCACGAGAAGCTAGACTGAGTCCCGTCCAGACGCCCATGACCGCCCCAATCAATTACAAGAATCAAGATTCACCAATGCCTGTTAGGAAAAAAACCAAGAAAACAAATGATGAGATGAATGGTCAAGAACTGAAAATACTGAAAGGGCTCTTGGAGATATGCATTCAGCGTCAACAAAACTCGCAATAGAACCGAAAAGATTCTCAATCTTCGGGGTTTAAAAACCAGCCCAGAAATGATTTGACAGAAGCGGAGGAATTGAAGAATGGAGAAGAACAAGGGATGGAAAACGGAAAATGTAGTTTGAAGCTTGAGATAAGGAGGAAAACCCGGTTCGGCAACTCGTGTGTCTGCTGCTCGCTGCTGCTTCAGAGATCCAGGACGTGGAGATACGAGAAGAGCATGGACACATGGACAAACCGTCAGTTTTTTGAGGCAATTTTTTAATTCAGCTTCGGTCCATTTACATTCAGTATTTATAATACGAGAAGAACATGTACCCAATATCACACGTTAAATTTTCAAAAAGCTTTTTGTGTTAAATAATAAAAATATGATACGAGAAAGAAATATGAAAGTACATTGTCTCTTTAGACAGTACTAATAATAGCCTGAAAGCCACCTTTCCGTGTACTATGACAAGGAATAAGTATCCATCAAATTATCAGCCAGCCGTGCAGTCGCGAATAATTTGAAAATATAATAATATTTTCGTATTGTCACTTTTGTTTTTTCGTCTCACCTAGGCTTTTTTTTTTTTTTTTTTACTTTGCGATTTGTTTCATTATGGTAATGGCAATTCGCAGATACAAGATAGATCATAGACTCGTACGCTGATCCTATGCCACATGTGAAATGGGAGGCAAGCACAATACATTCAATTGAAATCTAAAGGGAATCTTCACGTATTTTTATATTTTTATTTCCTGATTAGTCTAAACAAAAAATATAAATATGAGGATCATACTTAAATAAGTTTTAAAATCTGAGAATCCAATACATATCACACACTAGTGTAAATTACGCTACATGGACGTTGTAAAAAGTCAAAGCAATGACAAAACTTGAAATTTGTAATGTGATTGGTGGATTTTTTATGTATTTAGAACTGATGTTAAAAATGATTTTTTTAATAAAGTTTTTTATATAAAGTTTTTTTAATAACTATTAAAAGTCTTTTATATAACAGTAATACAATTTAATATTGTCAATTATTTTTTTAATAAAAAATATAAGACATTTTTTATGAGTTTAATGTTAAAAAATTTAAGATATCTTTAATGTTTTAAGATATAATTGATATATTTTTATAAATATTCATAATAAATAAACTACTTTATATTATTTTAAAGTGAAATATCATATTAAATAAAAATAAATATAAAAATATAATATTAATTTAAAAATAAATAAATATTTTATTAAAAGGATGAAATTTAATTAAAAATACTTTATATTTTTTTAAACGAGGCGGTAAGTTATTTGTTAATATTGGGACAAGATAGTGTGATATGTATGGAATATGAATCTAGTACTCATTTCAATTTTAATTTTAAATATAAGATGTAGTCAACTAATCTCTAGATCTATAGATATTAACAATAGTGTTACTTTCCCTCTAACACTCCTCTTTTAATGAGAATATTAAACGTGGGAGATAAAGAAAGTGAAAAAATTGTAAAGGTAATAAATATAATTTTAAGAAATATTAAATGAGAAAGTGACAGAATATTTTAAGTCATAAATTTAGTGTCAAAACAAATCTCAACTAGATTTTATATTTATGACGGGGTTATGCAAAATTCACTGCACATGGTCTAGATCTGAGATAAAAAGGAGTTTTTAATACTGGCAATCAATTAAGAGATTCATGTATGAAGATCTAACAAGAGCGTCGATTAAATAAGAATCATTAATTCAAAATTGAAGTGTTACCGTCTTTGTCCCCTTGCTGATTTGACGATAAATAATTCTGCACGCAAACATTTAATTTATAATTAGTCATAGATTCTGAGTTAAGATTATCCATCCCTTAATTATTCTTAATCTAATTTCAAAAATTCTGGCTGATGTACATGCCTTTGGGGTCCGGTGATGTCTTGAAGCTGAATAAAACAATAATGAATGAAGTTCCTTTTTCAATTCCGATGAGACAGGATGTATTTATCTCAATTATTAATTAACTAACCGGTTTTATAAAGAAGCGTGAAGTAACAAATTTATGGTCATGGTTGTGAATACTGAATTATTCTTGTTGTCTACTCCTTTTATGACAATTTTAAATAAAACATTATGTGCCAATAAATTTTATTAAATATATTTAATAATTTATTTTTTTAAAGTTAAAATATTAACTTTAAAAAATATTTATCATTTAATATATTAAAAAAAGAAGAGATGAAAATTAATTATAGATAAAGAGAAAGGGTAATATTAAAATAAGTCTATTTAATGAAATCTTAATTTTTTTAAAATGTCTCACATTTTAAAACGCTGGATATCTCCCAAAATTTTTTTATATTTTGAAATGGAAGGGGGTATTTTTTAAGGAAAAAAATTGTGATAAAGATAGAGGGAAATAACATACTTGCAAAAATTTTAAAAAAAATTATATGTAAATATCAATTTAAATAATTACAAATTAAAAACTCAATTTCAAACTAAAAGTTATATTTAAAAATTAAATATTTTATTGTAACTGAAATCTTAATTTACAGTTGTTAAATCGATATTTATAACTTATTTTTTTAAAAATGATAGATGATATAATTGTCATTAAGTCAATTTTTTAAAAAATAAATGTTGTCCAAATATTTAAAGGAAAACATCGAAGTAGAACGCTGCCAACGCACCCCGGCAATGAAAAATTGGAGACAAATATAAAAACGTCCAAGAATGTTTGAACATAGCCGCCATTATAGTTTGCCAAGGGAGGAATATGCAATCTAACCTAGTCAAAGTCATCTACCGTGTATCCGGTTCAGTGGATGTAGTTATCTTAATTAGATATACATATTATATACACATATAGATATATATTGAAGCGTAGAGTATTTTTTCTATTGTTATTTTTTTCTGATCAAGAGCTGGCTTGTCTAAGCCCCTTTTTTTAAAAAAAAAAAACAAAGAAAGGAGAGAAAACAAAAAGGAAGCAAAAAAAAAAAAAAAAGTAAACCTGCGATAAAGATGAATGTCAGTCTAAATCTAACTATGAATATTATACCGTCATAGCAGAGTTTGATATTTTATACAGTATAGTTGTACATTCAGTACAGTCTTTACTGAATATGACCCTATAAAGTATTGAAACAAGATATGTGCTACGTATTAAATGTACATTCAAGTAAATATGAAGAATAATCCTTGCTATTTATCCTTTAATTTATCTTTTGTTTTTGATTGTCTCTTTATCTTTCGCTATTTAATAACAATATATATACATATATATGGGTTAAATGATAAAAATATTCTGAAACTTTTTTTTTAGGGGTGCCTGACATTCTAAACTTTTTTAGAACATTTTTACTCTTGAAATTTCAAAAATAGAGTATCTTCGTCCCACTGTTAAAAATCACAAACATTGATCATTAACTAAAATTTGAATAGGGTAGTTTATGATTTTTCCCTTTTTCATTTTTGCATTTTTCAATCTTCATTTTCATTCATTAGAAGAAGAAAAGTTAAAACATTCACTGGAGAACGAAATCAAGGACTAAACATAGAAGAAATGAGGGGAAAATAATCCTTCTGATAAAAAATGTAAAGCATTTTTAACTTAATTTTATCCTCAATAAAATAGTTACCTATTTTCAAACTAACCTTATTAAACACCCTACAATAAATATAAAGTAGAGGTACTTTTGAAAAAAAAATAATGATTATATCTTGAAAGACTAAACATACTTTACATTTTTTAACATCAAACTTTTTGAAAAATGCCTAATATTTTTGAATAGATGGAGTACAGAAATATTATTGGTCAATCTTCAGTTTAACATTCAACGTTTGCTATTTTTAATGATGGGGCAAAAATACTTTGTTTTTTAAACTTCTTGAGCAAAAATACCCTAAAAAAAATTAAAATGTCAGGCATCTCTAGAAAAAAAAAAGTTTCAACATATTTTTTTCTTTTAATCATATATATATATAGACTATACAAAGTTGGTAGCAATTTAAAGATTCAAGAAAATTTCATATGAATAGCAGTGATGGCAATTGATTAAAAACCCTTTACTAGCCAGGAATTCTCAGAGAGCATAACAATTAATTATTTCAAATAACCGTATTGAGTCTATTATATATATATTTACGACCCACCATTAAGGTCATTTAATTTGATTAATCAAACTTAAATAAAAATAATAATTTAAATGCAATCAACTAATTACCTTTAGGCCACAATTAGGATGTTTTATTATCTGGATGATATCTTATTACTTAATGATACTCAGAATGTTAGATTCATATCAAATATAATTGATATAATCATTGCATGATAAATCATAATAATAATACAACAACAACGAGCCTTATTCTATTAGATAGGGTTAGCTACATGGATTTTATGATGTCATTGTACTCTATCACTTATCAAGCTTTTAAAAATATGATTAATTAAGAGGTTTCGATCAACAACTTTCAAAATATTCTCTTTGACCTTTCTCTACCCCTCTTGATAAAACTCAAAATTATATGTTCTTCTCGCCTCACAGGTAGCTCCTGTGGCCTTATTTGTAATGTCTAAACTATTTCAGATGATTTTTTACCATTTTTCCTTTGATAGATGCAATGCCCACTTTTTTCTATATGCGCTTATTTTGAATTTTGTCTTTATGTATATGCCCACACATCCATCTCAATATTCTCATCTCTATTTTCCAACTTTATGCCCCCATTAAACCTTAGCATTCACTATTATATGATGTTGCTAGTCTTGTAGCAATTTGATAAAATTTTTCTTTAAGTTCGTTATGTACCTTATGATCGCAGATGACTTATTTAGTATTTCTCCAATTAAACCACTCATCTTGTATCCTGTGTGTAATATTTCCATCAATTTTTTTCATTATATTAAATAATAGCTCTCAAATATCTAAATTTTTTAAATTGAGGTATTATATGATCACTCAATTTCATTTTCAAATTACTAATCATTGACTTATATTCAAAATTACAATGTAAATATTTTGTTTTATTCCTATTTAGGTGAAAACCTTTTAATTCCAATGTTTACTTTCATAACTCAAGTTTATATTTAATCTATTATCTTGTCTTTACAATAAGAACTGTATCATAAGCAAAAATCATGCATTTGAAAATTCCCTCTTGAATATACTTAATCAAAACATTTAAAACTAGGTCAAATAAATAAAAACTTAAAGATGCTATTTGATGGAATTCAATCTTTATAGAAAAGTTTTTTATTTCATCGCCAGATATTCTTAATAATAAATTATCTAACAAGATTGACTTACTAAATGGCCCTGTA